GTGTTGAGATAGCAGAATCCATCCTCGTCTAGCCTCTATGTTATCCATCACACTACGTGAAAGCAGCCTTCCGCGCGAGGGAACACCTGGCTAGCCTTCATTATCCCACGCACTTGGCGATGTGTGCCCGGCCCACTTCTTGTCGTCAGTTTTATGCCTTGCCCTGTGTGTGTGTGCATTGCTTCACCGACCGACCGCCTTTTTCGCCACAAGGGCAAATCATAGTGATTCGTCGCCCGTGGAATTTCGTAGGTGTACCGGTTATAATTACGGTGAGCCTTTGGGTTAAATTACGTTCACAGAAGGCTGATAGATGGACGAAAGTGTGAAAATGCTGTTGCTACTGCTAGAAATCTACACACTAGAGTCTAGATTCTAGCCTACGGCTACGGTGATTCAGTTCATATTTTGTTGTGTGATGTGTGTCATTGAAGCAAATCCACTCGCCGCTTGATCTAGGCCTAGCCTAGGCCTAGAGGTTAGCCTACCCCTGTCCTAGATCTAGATCTAGATTCTAGATATTTCTAAATCTAGATCTAGATATAGATCCTGTTGTTTTTCTATGGACCGTTACGTAACACCGCCACTGTGCGCTTGAATGACCTTCTGCGCGGCCACGTTATTGGTGGCTAGTCTAATAACACTTGACTCTAAAAGAAATAATTATTGGCGGAGCCTCATTTCTCTCCTGTCTACATTTGGTGCTAAAGTAAGGTTAGATGTGGGTGGGGGGTCTTCCGTCTTGAAAAAATCTGTCGTTAACTGTTGGATCACAATGAAGTAAGTTGCAATGCCAATGCTAAAACTAACAAATTACATTAGTAGATAGATCTAATCTAGACTCTAGATCTAGATAGATTAAGTTATGATATGTCATGTGTGTAGATTTAGATAAGGATCTAGATTCTAGATCTAGTCACCCAGCAAAAACTAAAATCCTTCTCATGTAAACAAAAAGGGAAACAAAAAAATCTCTCCACGCCCCCACGCCCCGTTCACACCTTACTCACTACACACACACACACTCTCTCACACATACACACACAAAACAGGCCATCCCATTCGCAATGATTATCCAACAAATCTCGAGAACGGAAACCGTTCTGAGAAATAGAGTTCAAGTTTATTTTCCCGAGCGCTCTGAGAAATAGAGCCGGCCTTTACTAAAAGTAAAAGGGGAAGAAAATCCGACAATGCATCCTGTATGCCATGGCAGTTTTTAACTTTTGCAGTTCAGCTTTAAATTAGCGTTATACTATATATTGTATTTGGTTTTTATCTTATCTAGAGTCAAGATCTATCAGGATTTCGACACCTATAAATATTGACTTGCTTTCTTAAGATCTTTTCAAACCTAATTTTGCCATCAACTTTCTCCCCCTGTTCCCTACCCTTACTCTGCAGTCTACACTGACCTCGATTCAACAAAGCCTCCTTATCTTCTTTCTACCTTTGACTTTGACTTTGATAAATAAGTCTTGATTCTCATTTGAAATGTGTGTAAATTAGATTTTGTTGCCGAAAAATCTTGTTGAGATTTTGGGGAATCAATGACCGTGCTGTGGTTGAAATTTATGTAAATACAAGCGCGAGTTTATGTGTGATAGTGATAGGCTTACGCAGTGTTTCAAATAGCATGAGAGCCGTGAGCTTATCAGAACGTGGCGTTTCAAATAACATGGGAGCTATTCAGAATGCTGGGTTGGAAACGGCGCCTGCCTTTTTTTCTTCCCCTCTGCTTTTTAGATTAATTTTTCGTTATAAAAAAGAATGACACAGTAAGAGTTGGAATTTTGAGCAATATTATAATTATTATTATAATTATTAGTAGGTGTAATCATAATGTTTTTTTCCCAGTGTGTCATGTGTAACAATTTTTTCTTTTTTCTGTTGTGTTAATAATGAACCCATTCTAACAGCTTTCATTTGAATTTCAATCATCACAAGCTACATACATTAAAAATTTTTAAAATTGTGTAATTATAAATTTTTTCTTTGTCGAGATGAATCATGTGTATTTCATATTTTCAGCACGCTCATCATAAACACAACATTTTGAGGACCTTAGCCAAAGCAACGGCAACATCTGTTTCATTTTGCTAATCCGGGGAAGCAGTTGTGCCCGACGTAATCGTGTGATTTGGACGACATAGACAGACAGATCTCCGAGGACAGACGGAGCATGATTCGGGGGCCTCCAGGCTGCATCACAGAGCTGTGCCCCTTGTGACAATGTGCTTGTTCCGAAAGCATGAACTGCATACATTTGTGGAAAAGCTAAGGACGCAGGGAAATTTACAAAGGGCCTTGTTCTCGCAGTCTCAGGGAGCTTCTTCTGCGTTTTTATGACAAGGGCTGTATTAATTTAGAACGTTTGAACCAGTTACTAGTCATTCCAGTAGTTCTACACTAGTCTTTCCTGCCAAGCCGAGAAAATCAAATTTATATATAATCTTTATTGTTTACTCACCATACACTTTGAAACTTAACTTATTGGAAAGTTTGAGACTTTTGATGTACATATATATCAGGAACACAGACAGCAAGTGCCTCTGAACGTTCTGTCGTTTGTAAAAGTGTATGGTCAATGGTTGTGTACATATAGTGGACCAAGTACTTGTAGAGTTGTGAGATCCAAGTGTTCAGTTTTAGACCAGTTGTTAAGTCACTTTTGACCTAACGAAGGAACTTAAAATAAAACTGTGATTGATTTAGTTCCTCTCATGATTTAAGCAATTGGCTTTTGTTGCTGTATTTTCCCACCGGAAAAAAAAGTAGATTCCGCAAAACATATTTAAGTTCATCATATATAGAACTTGCAGAGACTTTGAAGCTTTGATCAAAGGATTTGGAGTCTAGCGTGTATTCATTGGATTACTGTGTGACTGTGTGTATAGATAACTGTGTACAGAATACTGTGTGTAGACATAAGACACAACGCACCCAACAGGAAAGTCCTGTTTGTGACTTTTCCAAAAGTTCTGAGATTGATCAGAAAGTGACTCTGGTTTTAAAAAGTTTTATTTGTAGTGGGGTTTTTTATTGTGACTTACCCGCTGATGGTGGCATTGGTACTGTTGCGAGACAGCACATACACAATGTTTGTGGATATGACCCTGACGGAAGGCACTGATCTCCCGCAGCCTTGGCGGAGAAACAAGGCCTTTTCCAAAAATCTGGGGCTGATCTCCGAGGAGGTGAGTGTTGTGTAGGCTGTGTGTGTGTCCTAATTGAATGACGATGAGCGACGTCAACTATACTGTCATCAATATGTGTAGTGGTTTGTTAAGTTTTTGGCAAGGTATGAAAAGAACAGTATTGTTGTATCTTGTACAGTCGAACTTGTTCATTCGGCCACCAACGTAAGGCAATTATCTCTCTACAAAAAAACTACGACTCACCTTCCCCACTTGTTTCTTTTTTGTGTTATATAATATGATGAGGCCTGATGGGGCTGTCTCAGCCTTTCACCTGTCACAGACAACGTCTTTTCTCCTCCACAATGGGTAGTCATTTTGGACAGTTTCAGCTATGATCATACCGCAGGCAGTATTGCATACAGACGAAGTCATTTTTGGCAGCCTTTGAGATACACGTTTGTATGCAATACTGCCCGCGTTACTATAATCTTTTGGCAAGTATGGTTACTTTCCAAGTTGTTCAACACAACTATCCTACTAGGGCAGGTTGGAAGAATTTCGTTGTCATACTTTGTCACGCCTTGTGCCTTTGTTGAATTTATGTTTGAGCTCTGACCCTCGGAGACCACCTGGCCCAAGCTTCTGTGTGTTGACTGATGGGTATGTACGGTAATGTACCACAGGATACTATATTAAGGTGTGCTGTATTGGTAGTGTCACTCAAGGCGTGCTCTCAGGTCCATCAGGTTATAGGTCACTTGCAGCATTGCCGTTTCAACCTTTTTGTTAGGTTTCCTTCTTTTCATGTGTTGTCCATTATTGCACTGTATTAAATTATATGATGAAGATTTTGTTTTGAACAAGTGTATCCAATGAAAAGGAAGGAATGCAGAATGCTGGTAGTGGTGGTAGAGCTAAAGGATAGCACATTATGTATATATAGAGTATCATTTGTATCATGTAGGTTTGTTGTTTTGTTTTTTTTGTGTGTTGATTTAAATCAAATTTAAAAAAAAATTATGAGCTGGTATAATATTTCATTGTAAAGACCATCTGCCCTTATTTGACTAAAGTGTTATTTCCTTTGATTTAACCACGACAGAGTTGTCAGAACGTCACATTGTTACACGATGTTACATTGTCAGCTGTAGTTCAATTTACCTTTTTTTTGTGGGTGGTTGGTGGGTGCTCTGATGTGGTTTGCTTCTTCTTTCCTATCAAACATCTATCGTCCTTATCTCCCCCATCTTCTTTTTTATGTTTGTTACTCTGTTGTAAAACCTCTAATCTTCTGGCGCTCAGATGACCTTATGCAGTTGTGAGTGCCGTAAAACCTCTACTTTAACTAACTTTTTTTTTTTTTTTTTTAGCAAAGTCGGTGATTTTTTTGTTCATTTTTCTTGCCAGATCATCGACATTGGTGAGAATGGTTTGGTCCCCGATGACTTCACAGAAACAGAGCTCAAGACAGGCATGTGGTGGCGCCACCTGGTGGCAGGCGGGGCCGCGGGAGCTGTGTCAAGGACGTGCACCGCCCCCTTGGATAGATTAAAAGTTTTACTCCAGGTACGAGGTTCACAGAGTTTTGCTTTTGTAGTGTGGATAATTTCTATTTAAAAACATTTTTCTCTTTGCTTTCTGAGTAACAACAGTGTACTATCTTACTTTTGAACAATTTTCCCTTTTCTGTAATCTTTTTTTTTTAAACGTGTGTTTTCTGTATTATGTATTGCTTTCTTGTGCCTCTTTACTAGATAAAACGGAAAGTGAAAGTGTGGTGTGGTTTTTATCTTAGTATAAGTGGAAAGAAAAAATATCTGCGAAACTCTTACTTTGTTGTTAATTCCTAGAAGTGAAAGTGAAAGTCTTTGCTGATTGTGAACCAGTGAATGAGGACACAAACACTTATTATACACACAGCTAAATATATATATATTATTTTCCAAAATATACTGTTGAAAGTAAAAGAATTGTGAACTCTCAAAAGAAACTTAAGTACATTTAGATTCATCATTTACCACTGGCAGTCTATAGATAGAGTGAAGAATCCTTCAGTTCTACTAATTGTAGGTGAGAAGTAGGTTACACTTTACTCTGCAATCAGAAAGTGAGAAAGGAAGGAGTCGATAGCACTTAGATCGAAACTATCTAGCATGCACACATACTAATGCTATACACCTCGAAATTGGCTGGACTCTGAAATGTACAAATTTCACTGTGTTTCGAAGTTGAATACAAAGAATATAAAAATATAAGTAAGAAGGCATTTGGGACCTGGAAATGTTTGCTATGTGTGTGCTAGACTGTAGCTTGACCACTCGCAGTCTAAGAGAACTATGAAAACGATATTGTAATTGTTAAGTAAAAATTGAGACACATATACATCAGTAGCTTTTGTTCAGCAGCACAGAGGTGTGTGTAAATAAGAGGAGCTGGTACTGGATTCCCTCCCAAACAACACATTTGTACTGTGTTATGTTCCTCCCCCCAGCACAGAGGTGTGTTAGGAAGAGCTGGTACTGGACTCCCTCCCAAACAACACATTTGTACTGTGTTATGTTCCTCCCCCCAGCACTGGCTGGTTCTCATTAGTTGCAACTTGGTGGAGGGAGGAGTTGTCATAGAGTACAGTAGCACAGTACAGTGTGTGTGTCTGTCTTCTCACCCTTTTCACAGTAAGCTCAGCTGTAGCGAGTTGGGGCTTTGTAAAGTGGAAGTTAGAACCATATATATATATTAGTATAATTTTTAAAATGTGATATATAGTGCTGAATCTTTAGTTTAGTTAGGCAGTATGTTGAAAAAGTTGTGATGTAAATTTTTCTTTCATGAAATCATTTATGTTATCTCCATAAATTTTTGGCTCATTTCCCTCCATACATGGCGCGGAGCGCAAAACCTTTATCCTCGCTTGTCAGGAAACAGATGGGGAACATTTCAGTACTATACCTCAGCAAAAAAACACCCTGATCATTATTCATTATTAAATTTTCAGGGCACTGAGCAAATTGAATATGGTTATAAATATGTTCATCTGAATAGAAACTAATACCATTAGCACATTTGTCACCCGAATTCTCATAATGGGAACGCTTTAAAGCATCACTCTTGCTAGGTCTCCTCGCCACTTAAAAAAGATTTTCACTCTAATCATTGTAAACAACCTTATTTCTGTCAGAGACCACACAAACTATTCAGGACAGAAGGTGTACTTTTAACAAATGCATAAAATTAATATGATTATATGTTTAAAAGGAGATTATCCCTTAAATCTTACATCATTCTGTTGCTGTGTTACAGTGTCTTGTGGAGGCGGAAATGTGTTGTTAAAAGAACAGCCCAGCTTTTGTCCTTGTGTCTGTCGTCCTTGTGTCTGTCGTCCTTGTGTCTGTCGTCCTTGTGTCTGTCGTCCTTGTGTCTGTCGTCCTTGTGTCTGTCGTCCTTGTGTCAGTCGTCCTTGTGTCTGTCGTCCTTGTGTCTGTCGTCCTTGTGTCTGTCGTCCTTGTGTCTGTCGTCTTTATCTGATCTTTTTTTTGTTTTGTTTATTTCTTTTGACTGCCAGACCTCAACAGAGTTAGTATGTAGTGTGAGTTTGGTTTCTGTTTCTTTTGTTTGACCATTTTTCCCTTCTTTTTTAAAATATTTTTTTTATTGTTTTACCCTTCGTTGTTTTGGTTTTGTGAGTTTTGTTTTCACGGACTTTGTTTCTGTTGTGTTCTAACTCTACCAGATCTCAAGTACAAACGTTTCCCTCGTTGTCAGCACAGTGATTATGACATAACCCCCCCATTTGCCCCCCGCTAACACGAAGGTCAAGGTTTGAGGAAGACGACATGATTTTTGTCTTCTCTTGGACCTTGATACAGTCAGACACAGATAACATAATCACGGATAACTCGTACAACTTGCCACACTCCCCACCTGATATAAAATCTTTATAATTATTTTAAAATTTTTCTAATAGGGTTTTGAGGTTTACAGTTTACCTGAATTACAGAGATGTGTCGAACACAATTTTCAATTCCCGACGTGTTCAACATGTTTCCCAATTATATGATCTTTTAATAAAACTGAATTTGTCCTCAAATTTTAGCAACAAAAAATTTTTCTTTTAATTTTAGTAAAAATTATGATTAATCTGATTGATCATTTGTTAAATACGTCAGAAAATTTTTTTTAAAAATCAAATTGAAATGTGAACCGAGATGTGGACAGCAATCTTGGTACATTATCAATGCCATAATTTTTCTGTCATTGTTGTTTTTGAGTTGAGTTCTACTTATGTTGAGTTTTACTTATGTTGTAATCAGTTATTTAATGTGCCGTTAGTTAGAAGGCACCACTAGTAGGTCCTACTTCTTTACTTTCCCCTCTGTTGTTTCTGTCGGTCTGTCTTACTTTTTCTCAGCCATACTAATGACCATTATTGTGTCGATGTGCTTCTCTTTACTCAAACAAAACAAACAAAATATTTTAGCTTGTTGTGTTGTGAGTTTTGTGTAGTACTAGTAGAAAAACTACCCGCTACAAACTTTTAAAAATCTTCCTTCTTGTTGGCAAGAAACCAAACCCCATGTATAGAGCCGTTAGATGGGTGGTTGGCAGGTGCTCTGGTGTGGTTTGCTCCTTCTTTCTTATCAAACATCTTCATCATCTATCGTCCTGATCTCTCCTCCTCCTCCTTGTTACTCTCTTGTAACACCTCTAATCTTCAGCACTTAAATGACCTTATTGTGTTGCAAGTGCCGTAAAACTTTTACTAAAACAAAAGAGCTGTCCGTTAGGTGGGTGGAAGACACCACTGGTAGGGGCTTACTTCTTATCTTTTCTTTCACCCTTATTGTATTCTTCTGCCTTTCTTTTTTTATGCACAAGGTGACTGTTTATGTGTTCATGTGCTAGTCTTTAACTCCAAAATGAACAAATCTGAACTGCACTTCTGCTACAGGAGATTGACAGATTATTTTCCCACTTTTGAAAGCTGCAACATCAGACTAATTTTAGATTTTTCCTGCACTTGTTGTTAAACCCACGAATGAGAATGCCAAATTTGTTTTTTTAGTTTATTTTGATTGCTATTTTATATCACTTTAAATGAATGGTTTTAAGAAATGTAATAATTATAATTTCTGTCCACCTTGTAGTGTTATTTAAAGTGGTACAAAAGTACGAGAAAAGTTCAGTATCCAGATAGTTGTTTTTGTATCTGTGGACAGTTGTTAGTAGCAATGAGATATATATAAAACTATTTTTAATCCCGATGTTTTATTGTTTATGAGGATCTGTAATAATATGCACCCTCAGTCTGCTCAGTCTCTGTACAACCGATAGAACATTTAAATATATGACAGGAAATTTTTAGAACATTTGCATTTGGTGAGTCATGCGATCAAATGTGTATAATTATAATATTGGGATTAATTTTAATGTGTGGTATTTCTGTACAGCCTCTATATAGAGATCATAATGTGAAAGGTGGTTTTGTTGTATTGTTTTGTTTTTGAACAGTTGGTTGAAGGGTGCTTTGTTCTGTTCTTTCCCCACTCTTGTTCCGGTCTGTCTGTCTTGCTTTGTCCCGTCACCAAATGAACGAGTACTGTTTCAGTGTGCTTCTCTTCACTTCTCTCAAACAAACAAACTCAGTGGGTGGTTGTTGGATGCTCCTATATGGTTTACTCTTTCTTTTCTGTCAAACATCTATTATCATTATCGCTCTTCCTTCTTTTCTTTGTATGTTACTCTCAAGTATTTCTAGTCTATGCTATTTATATGACCTATTTATGTTGCAAATTCTGTAAGAGCGCAACAATCGTTTGTGTACTTTTATAATATTAGAAACTCTTGACGAAAACTAAAATAGCCTTTCATATCTCTCAAGCATGTATCGTATAGAAAGTTTGTGTTGCAAGGGCCGTTAAACTCTTGCAAAGTGGGTGGTTGGCAGGTGCTCTGGTGTGGTTTGTTCCTTCTTTCCTACCAAACATCTATCGTCCTGATCTCTCCTCGTTCTTTTTTGTTTTTGTTACTCTCTTGTAACACCACACCTCTAATCTTCGACACTTATATATAACCTTATTGTGTTGCAAGTGCCCTAAAACTGTTTCTAAAACTGAATGCTTTATAATATAAAAAATTAAGATAAAACTCTGACTTAAACTAAAACAGTCCTTCATATTTTTCAAACACGTATCATGTAGAAAGTTTGTGTTGCAAAGACCATAAAACTCGTGCAAGAACTGAAAATCAAACTCACAAAATTGTTCCTGTATATATCTAACCTTTGACCTTTGCTCTGTCCCCAACCACCACCACCAGGTTCACGGCTCCAGCAAGAACAACCTGACCATCAAGTCTGGCTTCAAACAGATGCTGGAGGAGGGAGGGTTCAAATCCCTGTGGAGGGGCAACGGAATCAACGTCATCAAGATCGCTCCTGAGTCGGCCATCAAGTTCATGGCTTATGAGCAGGTGTGTAGTGTGTGATGTTGGGTGGGTGTGTAGTGTGTTGTGTGTGATGATGGATAGGTGTGTGGTGTGTAGTGTGTGGGTGGATGTGTAGTGTGTGTGTGATGATGGGTGGATGTGTAGTGTGTGGTGTGATGATGGGTGGGTGTGTGATGTGTTGTGTGTGATGATGGGTGGGTGTGTAGTGTGTTGTGTGTATGATGATGGGTGGGTGTGTTGTGTGTGATGATGGGTGGGTGTGTTGTGTGTGATGATGGGTGGGTGTGTTGTGTGTGATGATGGGTGGGTGTGTAGTGTGTGTGTGATGATGGGTGGGTGTGTATTGTGTAGTGTGTGATGATGGGTGGGTGTGTATTGTGTAGTGTGTGATGATGGGTGGGTTTGTAATGTGTTGTGTGTGATGATGGGTAGGTGGGTGTGTATCGTGTGTTGATCGGCAGGTGTGAAGAGTTTGTTGCTAAGCAAGTAATTAGTATGTGTTGATGAGCAGGTGTGTAATAGTGGGTAGTTGGCGGGTGCTCTGATGTGGTTTGCTTCTTCTTACCTATCAAACATCTATCGTCGTTATCTCCCCTATTTCTTTTTTACATTTGTTACTCTCTTGTAACACTTCTAATCTTCTGGCGCTCATATGACCTTATGCAGTTGGGAGCGCCGTAAAACCTCTACTAAAACAAAAACGGTGTGTAACATGTGATGGTGTGTAGTGTGTGAAAAAGAATAACAATAACCACTAACACAGGCCGCCACCACACACACACACACACACACACACACACACACACACACACACACACACACACACACTTCCAACTGCCCGATACAACCACAGTTCTCCTGGACAGTGGGTGACAGTCTTGGGACAGTGGGTGACAGTGTTGGGACTTGGGACAGTGTTGGGACAGTGGGTGACAGTCTTAGGACAGTGGGTGACAGTCTTGGGACAGTGGGTGACAGTTTTGGGACAGTTTCGACTATATTTATTTCTCCAACCTCAAAATGAACAGCTCTGTGCGTACGCCTCACTTAACTCATCACACGCACACACACACACACACACACACACACACCCTGTGTACACGCATGGTTGGCGGGTGCTCTGATTTGGTTTTCTCCTTCTTTCTCATCGAACATCTATCGTCCTTATCTCTCTTCCTTTATTTGTGTTTGTTATTCTTTTGTAACACCTAATCTTCAGCACTTATATGTCCCTAATTGTTTTGCAAGTGCTGTAAAACTCTTATTGAAACTAAAAGAGTCAACTGACCTCTCCTCCTTTATTTGTGTTTGTTACTCTCTTGTAACACCTCTAATCTTCGGCACTTATATGTCCCTAACTGTGTTGCAAGTGCCGTAAAACTTTTGCTAAAACAAAACAAAAAACAACCCCTGTGTGTTCTGTTTCAGATCAAAGCGTTGTTCAAGGGAGACAGCAACAAGGAGCTTGGCGTGCTGGAGAGACTGTTGTCTGGCTCAGCGGCCGGGGCCATCTCACAGACCATCATCTATCCCATGGAGGTGAGGAGCACGGTCAATTCCCCCGGGGCGGTGCCACTGACTGTAGTGTCTCTAGGCCATTCCCAAAGGGGGGACATTTCTCGTTCAAGCATAGTAGAATTGTAAATGGGCTGATTCATGTCATGCTCATAACTGTGCCTGATCTACAACAGGGAATTGCTGCTTTTTCTTTCCTGATCCTTACTATTGTCATTTTTTCCTCTACTTCTTTTGTATGTTTGTCACACTCTTGGGACCTGCTATTTCTTGGGTGCCTTGATAGTCGAAGCAGACCTTGTGCTGTTGAAGCTAGAGAGGTGAGCAGAGTAAGTCTGATTCCCTGTAAAGACTTCTCTTTGACACCCACCCCTTGGCGCTCATATGACCTTATGCAGTTGCGAGTGCCGTAAAACCTCTACTATAATTTTTTTAAAAATAATAATAGAACACGGTCATCATTCTGAAATCAGGGATGCCATTTTTCCATTATTTCGGGGGGGGGGGGGGGGGGTTCCGTTATTTTCGGTATCATCCGTTTTTATTGTTATACTGATATGATGTTGTTTTGTTTCATTTATTGCTTTGTCACAAACTAAATTTTGTCTTTAAAAAAATGTTCAGGTATTGTGTACGAAAGTCCAGTGGCATCCCTGATAAATGTGTCACGCCGAGGTGGAATCGGGCGCTCGTCAATTTTTGGGCATATGGAGTTATTGATTTTGTCTTGAAGCCAGTTCATTTGTCCTGCTTTTGATGAAAAAAATAGCCATCTATCTTGAATAGAAGTTGAAATATTAGATATGATTGGAGGAGGGGGGGGGGGGGGGGGTCGCCTGATGTCAGAAGTAAAATTAAGGAGAAAGTGGCTCTCTAAGTTTGCAGACTTCTTTTGCTTGAGTGTCTTTGGAAAGTTATTGTATATGGATGTTCTTCTTATTACTAAAAATAACGTAGTACCTGTGACATTTTTTAAGTTCGACCCATTTGTTTGTTCCAGGTTTTGAAAACGAGATTAGCCCTGCGCAAGACGGGTCAGTACAGCGGCATTTTCGACTGCGCCCGCAAGGTGGCCCAGTACGAGGGCATGGGGAGCTTCTACAGAGGATACATACCCAACCTGCTGGGGATTATTCCTTACGCTGGCATAGATCTGGCTATTTATGAGGTGGGTGTACGTTAGCGTATGTCTGGCTATTTATGAGGTGGGTGTACGTTAGCGTATGTCTTGCTATTTATGAGGTGGGTGTACGCCGTACATAGATCTGGCTATTTATGAGGTGGGTGTACGTTAGCGTAGGTCTTGCTATTTATGAAGTAGGTGTACATTAGCATACATCTGGCTATTTATGAGGTGGGTGTACGTTAAAGTTAGCGTAGGTCTGGCTATTTATTAGGTAGGTGTACGTTGGTGTAGGTCTAGCTATTTATGAGGTGGGTGTATGTTGGCTTAGATCTGGCTATTTATGAGGTGGGTGTACGTTAAAGTTAGCGTAGGTCTAGCTATTTATGAGGTGGGTGTACTTTGGCGCAGTTCTAGCTATTTATGAGGTGGGTGTACGCCGGCATAGATTTGGCTATTTATGAGGTGGGTGTACGTTAGCGTATGTCTTGCTATTTATGAGGTGGGTGTACGCCGTACATAGATTTGGCTATTTATGAGGTGGGTGTACGTTAGCGTAGGTCTTGCTATTTATGAAGTAGGTGTACATTAGCATACATCTGGCTATTTATGAGGTGGGTGTACGTTAAAGTTAGCGTAGGTCTGGCTATTTATTAGGTAGGTGTACGTTGGTGTAGGTCTAGCTATTTATGAGGTGGGTGTATGTTGGCTTAGATCTGGCTATTTATGAGGTGGGTGTACGTTAAAGTTAGCGTAGGTCTGGCTATTTATTAGGTAGGTGTACGTTGGTGTAGGTCTAGCTATTTATGAGGTGGGTGTATGTTGGCTTAGATCTGGCTATTTATGAGGTGGGTGTACGTTAAAGTTAGCGTAGGTCTAGCTATTTATGAGGTGGGTGTACTTTGGCGCAGTTCTAGCTATTTATGAGGTGGGTGTACGCCGGCATAGATTTGGCTATTTATGAGGTGGGTGTAAGTTTGCATAGATCTGGCTATTTATGAGGTGGGTGTATGTTAAAGTTAGTGTAGATGTGGCTATTTATGAGGTGGGTGTACGTTAACAATTTATGAGGTAGGTGTACGTTAGCATAGATGTGGCTATTTATGAGGTGGGTGTACGTTAACAATTTATGAGGTAGGTGTACGTTAGCATAGATGTGGCTATTTATGAGGTGGGTGCATCGTAATAATGTCATATGAGCATGCGGGACACAAGTTGGGTGTTGACATGTTAGTTCACAGTACATCCGTGCTTTTCTTTGCGAGTCAGATTTTTTTAAGTATCTGAAAATTAACAGTAAAAATTTTGTTTTAACGGCAGCAGTTTTCATTTTTAAAAGACTGCCTTGTAAATTATCTGAATTGTGGCAATGGGAGTTGTAAAAAAAAACACCTTCATTTTGAAGAAGAAAAAATTAATTTTTTTGTTAACATCTGTGTTGTGATGTTCCAGACGCTGAAGAAGATGTACATGAAACGCAACAAGAACCAGGACCCAGGGATTATCGCCCTGCTGCTGTGTGGCACCATTAGCTCTACCTGTGGTCAACTGGCCAGTTACCCCCTGGCTCTGGTCAGGACCAGGCTACAGGCTCAAGGTACGCTGTGTGTGTGGGTGTATGTGTGTGTGTGTGTGGCACCATTAGCTCTACCTGTGGTCAGCTGGCCAGTTACCCTCTGGCTCTGGTCAGGACCAGGCTACAGGCTCAAGGTACGCTGTGTGTGTGGGTGTATGTGTGTGTGTGTGTTTATGTGGTGTGTGTGTGGCACCATCAGCTCTACCTGTGGTCAGCTGGCCAGTTACCCTCTGGCTCTGGTCAGGACCAGGCTACAGGCTCAAGGTATGCTGTGTGTGTGTGTTTATGTGGTGTGTGTGTGGCACCATCAGCTCTACCTGTGGTCAGCTGGCCAGTTACCCTCTGGCTCTGGTCAGGACCAGGCTGCAGGCTCAAGGTACGCTGTGTGTGTGTGGTTGGTGGGTTCTCTGGTGTGGTGTGCTTCTTCCCTATCAAATGTGGTTGGTTGGAGGGTTGTCTTGTGTGGTTTGTTCCTTCTTTCCTATCAAACATCTATCGTCTTTATCTCCTCTCCTTTTTTTGTGTATGTTACTCTCTTGTAACACTTTGAATCTTCGGCACTTATATGGCCTTATTGTGTTGCAAATGATGTAAAACTCTTACTTACTAAAACATAAAACAAAACAATGAGATGATCTTGTGTTCTTTTTCCAGCTCAACAAGGCTCTATGAAGAAGGACACCATGACAGGAATCTTCCGGAGCATTCTGAAAAACGACGGGCCCCGGGGTCTGTACCGGGGCATTGCGCCCAACTTCCTGAAGGTGGCGCCGGCCGTCAGTATAAGCTACGTGGTCTACGAGCAGGTGCGCACCGCCATGGGGGTCAAGATGAGCTGAGAGGGAGGCTGGCCGCGCGACCCGTCGGCTGCTACAGGGAGTCGGAGGGCTAGGACAGTGCCTAGTGTACCACAGAAAAATGTAGTTTAGTTTTCGCTTCTTCTTTTTTCTTTTTCTTTTTTACAAACTGTAGGGGTGTACCGCCCAAAATTTAGACATATATATCGACTGGTCAGTGTAAGACTGTGTCGCACCCGACCCCATCCATAATGGGCGCCCCGTATTACACTGGACTGTTGATGTATCTCTCTCCCCCTAGTTGGTCTCGGAATGGAAAGCGGGATTTGTAGGTGGGTGGTTGGAGGGTGACACTGTAGGTAGGTTGGGGTTTTGTTTTTTTTTTATTGTTTTTTTTTTAACCCTCTGTTGTTGATGGCGGTTTGTTTTACCTTTTCCCTACGTCTGTGGTGTGACGGTGAGGCTCGCTGCCTCTGACCCACAGAAAGGGTGAGTTGAGGTGTTGTAATATCCCACTGGGCTTGGGTTGGCCCCCGACAGACAGTGTTAGAGCAGCCGGCCTCCTATGTGAGCTCGGTTGTGTCCACAAAGTGCGGAAAACACTTACCCTAACGAAAATTCAGTCTTGTCAGCTGTATGGAATTTCCCGGATTTGTTCGTCGGGAATTCGAGAATCTTATCGCATACACTGCCCCCAAAACGTGTCCTTCTGGATGTCATTTTGTTAGTTGGTCGCTTTTAAGGACAAGCGGGCTAACCCAGATTTCGGGGGGTTTCCAGAAATCTTGACCTATGCCAAAAATGGGCTTTGTCCCACCTATTGGAGAAGTTTGGTTTCATTGGTGTGTATATTTGTTTGGTTACAGAGAATACCGTCCTTGTCTTTTTTAAAAGAAACTGAACAAAGGGCAAAAACTTTACCTTCGATTTTCTCAAAACAGCATTTTTCGGGATAGCCCCTTGTGCTAAAAAGCGACCAGTTGTCACGTAACCTGATGGTAAAACGTCGCGGTGTTCCTCGTTGGGTTTTGGAGAAATTGGCAATCCTGAAAATTCCCAAGTGTGTTGGCCAGTAAGCTAGGAAGACGTTGTTTGGTTTCATCATCATCTCTTTGTTATTGCGCAGCTGGTTGCCTCATGTTGTCTGTGGGTCCAGGGTTTGTTTGTTGCCAGGTGCTCCACCACTTACCCCAGTGATAGAAACAGCAGGTCGTCGGTCAGCTGGTCAATTGTACTCAGCCCAGAATTTTCAATTTGAAAAAGTTATTGCAGTTTTTTAGTCTACAGTATTGGTTGCATTTACTCGAGAATTATTTTGTCCAAATTCTCCAGGCTGAAGGGCTAGAACCCAGATGGTCGCTGGATCGGAAAAGTAAAGAAAAGTAGGTAAAGTTGAAATTCAAATAGTTAATTTTGGAGAGAAAAAAAAAAGAAAGAAAAAACTGGAAATTTAGGTATGCTTTTCAAGAGAATGAATGAAACGGTTCTTTCTCTCTCTCTCTTCTGTAAAATGTTACTCAACTGTTTGGGCTCAGTACATTTGACCAGCTGGCAGACGATGTGTATCCGACAGATTACATTGAACGTGTTAGTGCCATGTGTCACATTTCTCACCATCTGATTAGTTGGGGATTTTTTTTTTAACCATCGCAAAATATATTTTTTTAATGTAAATTCTACACTGAGGCTGTGAGTATGTGAAGGGAATAGACCTCTGTTCATAGTTCCATCGAACATCTAAATATAGCTGCTTCTCTGTTGTTCATTAGATTTTAACTGATGTATGACATACGATTCATGAACGCACACCAGAAAGTAAATGGACCTCCTTTTCTTTTATCAGTGTGACATTTATTGATTAGTGGGTTCAGCTTCGCTGCGTCCGTCAGTCTTGCCTCTTTGTTCTTGTACAGCTAGTAGGATTTGTTTTCTAAATCAAAATGTTTGGCAATGTTTTTGAAGGTAGAAAAGTGTCGCTGCTTTGTGAAGGGACCTTCTGATTGGTGGAGAAACTACTACTAATACTAGCTTTTTAAGTTAATTTATTTATTTATTTTATTTTTTTTGTAATCTCCCATATGAGAACTGATCTATGTGATCAGAAAACAGTGTAGAGCGCTCCTTTTATTCTTAGCTTTGTGTCGTAAATATATTCTGTAGCTGTATAATTATTATTGTTATTATTATTATTATAAACCTGTAGCCAGTTGAAGAGAATGAACATGACTGTTGGTTTGTCCAGAGGAATTTTACCATGATCTGATTTCTTAAATCATCGACGAAAACACAAAGTCAAAGAGTGACAATAGTGATTTGGACAAGTGTCAGGCGTTGTGGATAGGGGTTTCCGTGTCCCACACAGGAGACCTGAGTTCAATTCCTGAGTGGGAGAAGTTTTTAATTGAGTATCTCGGCCTTTTCTTGCTGGGATGTTTTATATCCCTCTTAATGAGTCTTAGCCTGGGTTAACCTTAGTCCTGACAGACCGGGTCAGAAGCCCGCTTCTCCGAAATAATCTAAATGGTGTTGATCGGTTTGGGAAAAACACCTACAAAATATAAAATGGAAATGGTGACTTGGGTTTTTTCTAGCAGTCCTGCCTTGTGGAGGTCCAGGGCTAGTTGAAACCTCCACCCCCTGGGAGATACAGGCATTGTGGAATCTTAGTCTACTTAGTCGGGGGGGGGGGTATGGAACTTTTGATTTGTCCCGACAAACTTCGATTTCGTTTGGACTTCTCTGTTGACATCCACCCCTTGGCGCTCATATGACTTTATGCAGTTGAGAGCGCCGTAAAAATCTTACTAAAACAGAACAAACTCTGATCTTTGGTTTGGGGGGGGGGTTGAGAAAACCTCCAACGTTTGGTCCTGTGGTGGTTGGCAGGTCCGAAGTTGTCGCTGTCATCGGTGGATGACGTGTCGCTGTCATCATCGGTGGATGACGTGATCAGTTTTTTATTGTGTGGAATACATAAGGGAGAAAAAAAGCGCTGGACAATTTCTCGGTAGTTTTGTCCTAACAGGTGATTTGGTGGGGTTTTTTAACCTCCCTGCATTTGTACATTTGTGTATATAGGACAGGATATTATTTAAAGACACGAGTTGTTATTGTTGTTGTTGTCGTCGTTGTATGTTTTTGGATAAGCGGCGTGCTGGGCAGTGTGTCGCTGCTGTGCTGCTGCTGCTTGCATTCACTTGCAAAGGAATCTGTGATGTGTTCCCATATATAGGTTGTTCTTTGTATCTCTGTGTGTCTCCGTGTATCATATAGTGTGTGTGTGTGTGTTTACCACCCCTCCTCTTGTGGTGTGTATGTGTGTGTGTGTGTAATTTCTCTTGTGTGTATGTGTGTGTGTAATTTCTCATGTGTATGTGTGTGTGTAATTTCTCATGTGTCTGTGTGTGTGTAATATCTCATGGGTGTATGTGTGTGTAATTTCTCATGGGTATGTGTGTGTGTAATATCTCATGGGTGTATGTGTGTGTAATTTTTCATGGGTATGTGTGTGTGTAATTTCTCATGTGTGTATGTGTAGGTGTGCTAGTGTGCTTTCCTATGTTTATGTATGAACCGTGTCAGGTGTATGTGTGTGCTAAATCATTGGTCTTTGATAGCATGTAGAGTGTGTGTCGTTTTGTTTTGCAGCCTTGTGTAGAGTGAGGGACACATGTGTTCAACATTGGTTTGTGTGTGTGTGTTTGTTTGTATCATGTCTTCTGTGGTCACCCCCACCCCCTGTCTTCAAAGGTTACTACGCGGGTGGTTGGAGGGTGCCACTGCTGGTTGGTCGTTTCTTCTTTCTCTCTGTTGTTTCCTGTACTTCTGTCTGTGGGTGGTTGGCGAGTGCTTCTTCTTTCCTATCAAATATCTATCGTTCTTGTCGCCCTTCCTTATATATAATGACCTTATTGTGTTGCGAGTGCTGTAAAACTCTTACTAAAAAAACTGAACTTATCTCCCTTCCTTCTTCTCTTTGTATGTTCTTCTCTCCATCACTTGTTTGACCTATTTTGTGTTGCAAGTGTTGTAAAACTCTTTCTGAAAACTTACCCATTCCCGGGAACCCCGGCTTGTCCCCGCAGCTAACACCGACTGTTTGTCGGAACATTTCAGGAAAACGTTTTGTTTCATTTTTTGCAAATATTTGTTTTTTCCATTTCCACTTTCTAGGGCTGAGAGGGGTGTCACTGTTCATAGTTTTTGTTTTTTGAGAGAAGTGTTGCACATCTCATGTCCCTGTGTGTGAGTGTCAGCTGCAATATTTTATCCCCAGTTACTGCAAACATTTACAATGTACCAGTGTGGTGGAGAGAGGGAGAGAGAGGTAACGGTAAAGTAGGCCTAGTTCATTCACCAAAGTATATTCAGAATTCCAGACTTTTACCATTTTCATCATTTTTACATCTGGTATGAAACTTTTTTGTTGTTGCCCTTGTCGAGTTTTTCCGATGTCCAGAAGGAGGCCTCCAGCTCCTACACATATGACCTAATGCAGTTGCGAGCGCTGTAAAACCTTCTTAGAACAGTAGCTCACACACTGGGTGTGTTGCCTGGGTGTGCCTGTGGCCGTAGTGATGGAGACACGTGGAGCTTCTATCTGGGTCGCGGCCTGCCTCCCTATCTAAACTCTGTCAATGCAGGCTGAAAACTTTGCCTATAGAAGAAAAAAAAACTTTTAAGCCGACCAAATATTGGCTCATATCACAGTTCTCATGCCTATGTTTTATACAAGGTGTTGGGGCTCTTTTATTTTTGAATGACGTAGCGCTAGACATCTTAATGTCTTATCTATTTAGGATTTCCCCACAAGCTTCTCGGCCTTGGCGAATTTGGTTTTTGCTTGTGCAAATGTTGTATCTTTCTTTGTCACTTTAGCGCCGTAAAACCTCACTAAAACAAACATTCTTCGTCAGTTTTGTCCATATTTTTATGTATGATCCCTGAGATTTTTGAAAGGATGAATTTGTCCAAATCGTCTTCTCGTCTTTGTTGCAAAATGTCCATTCCCTTCCCCGACGTGACCAAAGTTGTGGCACGCGGGCTCCGGTACTGACCACTGATTCTTTCCCTTGCAAGCTGAGATGTTATCATTAGGTCACCCTCTATTTGTCATCCCATAGGTGCGTTTGAATTTGTCCATGTTAGAAAAAAGTTGTTTAGCTTCCTGTACGTTGTATGTAGACTTTGTTGATGTGGAAAGAAATAGTCGGATGGTGAAAAAACGTGAGCGTTCCCAGTTGTCCAGGAAATGTCCGTGCTTGCTTTTTGAGACCCGCACCCTCCAAACTTTTTTAAATTTCTGTCTCGTGTTTCCAAAGGGAGCTCATCCCAGATCGTCATCATCCCTTGTGTGTGTGTGTGTGTGTGTGCACGTGCGTGCGTGTGTGTTTTCCCATCAAATACATACATGGCACCAAAAGACGCAATGATGTTTTTAAACTGATTTCTTTCCAGTGTTCTGTGAAAGAATGTGGGTGGTTGGCAGGTGCTCTGGTGTGGTTTGCTCTTTTTTCCTGTCAAACATCCTTCATCCTTATCTGTCCTCCTTTTTAAAATGTAATCTTCTAGTAACACCTTTAATCTTCGGCACTTATTTTTATAAAAATATGACCTAATTGTGTTGTTTTGTTAGTGCTGTAAAACTCGTTGTAAAACAAATTTTTAAAAAGAAGCCTTCGGCTCTTGCATGGACTAATTGTGTTGCAAGTGCCGTAATTACCAAAACTAAGAACTTGTGAAAGCATGGGCTTATATCCTCTCCCCCGTGTAGTAAACGGTGCGCAGAAACTGTGGCGTATGTCTCCCCTCATGTAGTAGACCATGCACAGAAACTGTGGCGTCTGTCTTCTCTCCCCTGCTAGGTCCTCACAGAATGTCCTGGCCGTGCCTTGCTGGTCCCACGAAGGAAGGCTTCCTCCTTTGTGTCTTGTTTCTCGCATCAATTTTGTTTTGGGGAATTCCCGTGGACCGTTGATCTCATTTGCTCATGGGGTTTTGGGACTTCTTTGTTGTTTCTGTTTTGTTTTCTGTCTTGTTGGATCCGCTTTATATGTATATTTTTGTATTCTTGTTCTGATGATTCTCCTTGCTATATATATATACACATGTATGTGTGTGTGTGTGTATTGATGGTGTCTGGCACAGCTGATGGGCCATCTCTCTTATGCAGTTGCGAGTGCCGTAAAACCTTACTAAAACTAAACTGGGCCGGCTGTTGGATTTTATTTTATTTTGGTTTACCACTGTTGGATTGAAGTGGACTCCACTCGCGACTTCAGTACTTTCTTGTCGTATCTCCATTTTTTTTTCAAACAGTGAAAACAGTTCATATTTTCACTGTTAAAAAAGTGGAGATAGGACAAGAAAGCACTGGGGTCGCGCACTGTAGTCAAAAGATGATGTTGTAGAAAAGTTTTGGACTTGCCCACGTTGTACCGGCACCATCGATATGTCGCTTTTGATTGTAAAACTTTTGTTGTTATTGCTTCTTCCTCGGATCCAACCCTTGCACTGAACCTTTTCCTGACTGGTGAGAGTGTAAAAAAAAATGTTTCGTACCCAGGGAGGGCTCCGCAGTTATGTTCAGATGTTAACACACACTGAGCTTTAGTGCGCATGGCCTTGGTTTGAATCCCAAATGAAACGTTTTTGAATTTGAGTGGGCTGGATGATACTATCAGAGACGGTCGTTAACCATCATTTGTAGGTCCCTTTTTCATTAATAACCTCGCACTTACAATATTTACTGTCTACCCAGGGAGTTGTTTCATTTCCTCCCCCCCCCCCATGCAGAAGTAGCGGTGATGTCAGTTGTTTTGTTGCTGTTGTAGTTGTTGCTATTTACCTGCCTGTATGTGAGTGCGGGTGGTTGGAGGGTGCCACTGGTAGGTCCTACTTCTTAACGTTCCCTGTGTCTGTCATACTTTGTCTCGGCACAAAATGACCATAATTGCGTTGATGTGCTTCTCTTTACTCAAACAAACTGTGGGTTTGACTTTTTTTGCATTAGCATATTTCCCAGCGGTATTGACTGTAGGGCTTTGCGAGTGGTAGCCAGCCTAGGAAAAATACCGCCACGGTTGTTTTTTCTACCCGAGATATTTGATGCGGTCACCGTCTAGACACAAACATGTCTATGTCGCAGACCTCATTCAACAATTTTGAATGGACAAAGCAGGAGAAAAATTGGCCAATTGGGTGAA